AGTGCTGCACACAGTGTTTTTCTCTGAAAAGGCATTGTGTTTACATTAAAAAGCTTGCAAGAACAGGCTACCAGATGAGGACAAGAGGTTAATGATGCTATCTGGTTCCACTGGTCAGGTGAGAACAGGCTCTCTGGAGGCTGTTTGTAACTCTGCTCACAAAATCAATGAACAGAAAACAGCTCAATTTTTTGTGGCCCCTTACACAGCTTAAGGTCTGGGTCCCCAGGGCCTGACCGTGAGTATGCCTACAAGGCCCACCCATAAGTCCACCTACATGGCCCACACCTGAGTTTGCTAGCAGGGAGTGGAGTGTATCTGTGTAGGGCATATATTATGTGTTATTGTAGAGGATATAATGTGTGTGTGTTCTTATGGAATGTAGTGTATAGGAATAACAGTTTGTGTACGTGTGTGTAGGGGATGCAGTGTGTTTGTGTGTAAGGGGTAGAAGGCAGTGTGTGTTTGTGTATAAGGAATGCATTGTGTTTCTGTGTGTGTGTGTGTAAGGGATGCATAGTGTGAATTTGTGTTTGTATGTGTAAGGGATGCTGTGTATGTAAGGGGTAGAAGGCAGTGTGTTTTTGTATATAAGGGATGCATTGTGTGTGCAAGGACTGCATTGTGGGTGGGTGTGTGTGTGATGCATTGTGTGTGTGTGTGTGTGTGTGTAATGGATGCATTTCTGTGTAAGGCTGAGTGCGTAAAGGAAGCATGGTGTGTTTCTGTGTGTGTGTAGGATTCACTGTATGTTTCGGTGTGAGTAGGGATGCATTGTATATGTGTGTGTGTGTGTGTGTGTGTAAGGATGCACAGCCCTGGTGTCACACCCCCATGAGTTAGTAAATCCGTACCTTCCAACCATCCCTATGCCCAAATCTATAAACAAACCACTCTCCTTCGCTTCTCCTTCTTTCTCACACCTCACTTAGCCACATTCTTTAAGTCATTATTAGAAACGTCTGTACACCCCTCTGACTCACTGTCAGAAAATATTTCAAGCCTACCTAAACCAGATAAACAACCTAACTTTAGGCCTATTTCTTTATTAAATTTAGACACAAAAATCTTTATTCTCCTATCCATTATCCACACAGACCAGATCGGTTTTGTCCAAAGCAGGCAAGGTACAGACGGAACTTGAAAAGAGCTTACATTATTTGCATTGATATACCGTATATATGAAAAAACAGAAGCCAGCATTCTCTTATCATTAGACGCTGAAAAAGCATTCGACCATCTGCACTGGTCCTTCCTCCAAGCAGTCCTCCATAAATTTATCTTCTTAGCCATCACAGCCTTATACAGCAAACTTACAGCTAGGATTTTAATGAAGACTTTTTTTTCTCTGGCCACTTCCCTATTACAAATGGGATGAGGCAGGGATGCCCTCTCTCACCCTTACTGTATATCGCAGCTCTGGAACCCCGGAGAGAAATTATTCATACAAACTCAGACATTAAAGGTATAGTGTTAGATCATAGACAATACGAACTTAGTCTAATTGCGGACCACATCTTTGTATCTTCAAAACATCCATATACATCCCTGCCAATATTCCACAATATATAATAAGAATACAGTAAATACTCTTATTATAAGCTAAATCTTACTAAAACCCAAAATCGAGGGGGAGGCTCTTTTGCAATTAAAGACAAATTATGCCTACGATTGGAGAACAGATTTTATAATGTTTTTAGGAGTGCCTCTTCCACTCTCTCTGTCTAAGCTCCATATCGTCAATTATGCCAAATTGAGAAAAATGGTCACTGACCTCCTCACAAAATGGAAAGGTAAATATCTTACCTGGTCAGGCTGAATCACAGCAGTGAAAATGACTATCCTCCCTAAATTGCAATACATGTTCTGTACATTACCTATTAAAATACCTAAATCCAATTTTCAAACATTACAATCCTCCATCAACAAATTAATGTGGAATTACAAATGCCCAATAGTTGAAAAAATCTTTACACAATTAATTACAAACAGGAGACATGGACTTCCCAACATTTCACATTATTACATGGCATCCATTCTAAGCAGCATACTATCAGTGTAAGCACAACCTGAACCCCTGCAATGGGTTAAAGTGAAAGAATACTGGGCAGAAGGGTTTAATTGGCCGACTTCGATTTTGTTTTTAAAATGCTAGCGCCCTAATAAATAAAAAAAAAAAGTACTTCCGACAACATCCCTTGCCTTATATCTGTGGGACGAGCACAGGAATCTCCTTCACCAGCATTTTACTATATCTTTAGCAATTGCCTTACGAGCTATAGCAACACTCTTACCATAGTTTAACTATAAGACATGGGCAAGAGCAGGAATTCACCACCTATATAAATTTTATAGTAACGCTACTTTAATACCCCTCATGGATTTGCAAAAAATTGCACAATTTTTCTTCCATAGCTGAATTCTCAAACACCCAACTAAAATCATGGTTACTGGTGCATGGTACATCAAAGTCTTCTTGTGTACACGTGCAATAGCTCTCGGACTTTGAGAAAGCCTGCTTAGACTTATCACAACCAATAAAATTAATTTCAAAAATATCGAAGTATAGACCACTGCAGGCCATAGCTAACATCCATAGTCTATCATGTGTCCAAGCATGAGAAAAAGATTTGGGCCGATCAGACAAAGACTGGATAGGAGCAGTTGCTATCTATAAAGGCATGACTCTTTGCTCATCTCATATAATAATATTAACAAAGTGTTTAACCAGAAAGGTACATTCAGATATTTATTGGTTTCCAAGTACCTCCTGGGGACTTTTACAAAAACAAATTTATTGTTAATCAATATCGGTACTTAGTGCCAATAAGATTGGCTCATCTTGACCATCTAAATCCAGTTTATGGTGGAGATAGCTCCCTCATTTAAAATCCTTAAACATGGCAATTCCATTTATCACTCAATTGGGGAGCTAAATGGCTAAAATTGGGTTAAAAATGGGCTAAAACTAGAACAGTTCTTTTACATAGACGGGTTTATTTACTAAAATCCAAATGGCCCCATACTGAATGGGGCTAAACCATCCAATTTTTACAGTGCCTTTCAGACTGGAAAATCCTGACATTATTTACAATAATGATCAGTGTCTGGATTTCCCAAAATGGGCTTCAAAAGAGTCTGAATTAGATCCAGATCCAGATAGACAAATGGTGGTTAGTGAGTAGATCCAAGAGACTTTAATACTGATTTCTTTTAGGAAAACTGTCTAAATTGCTAATGATTCCTACCAGACCTACTAAGATTTTATTCTTGTGGTAAAACTCACAAATTAAAAAAATCACCATATTTTGCATTTTTTTCCTTGCAATAAATCATGCCTAACCATTTCTACGCAAGTTACTCAGAATGTTGGTGTTTTGAGCAAAACAAAAGTTGAAAAAAAAAGTTGTTTGGTAACATTCTCAATTTTATAGCAAACATAAATCTGCATCTGTTGTGCTCTGACTGGATATCTACTTTGAATAACTCACCCTATATTTGTAACTCATTGCCTCCACTTCACTTACTCTGATTGAATTTGATTTCACAAGTTATATCAATACTCTGCAAAATGCTGCCCACTAAAGCCCAGAACATGTAGCCAGACCCACAGCGAGCTCCACCCACTTATGGTACAACAAAATAGTGAATTATCCTCTTCCCCCATCACATTTCACTATATTGCAGCTGCTCCCCAACACTTGACATCTCCCCCCAATCCTCAGTATCATTTAAGTGATATTGACAGCTTTCCGACCAGTTAAAACTTTCAGTTTCACTATAATCCACACAGTAATGAATAAAATATACTACCCCCCTACCTTCCCAATACAGTTAACTAAATATACCCCCACTGCGTTTTACATAAATGCATCCCCTCCAATGCCATACACTGCCAGTGAATCCCTCATTGCCACTCCCCCAGGCCCATTGCCCCCTCTCTCTACACCTCCTCTGTGTTATTTCTCCCAACTCTCTCTAATTTCTCTTCCCAATTTTTATCCCGATTCCTCTTCTCTTTTTTTCCTTTATTTTTCCTTTATTTCCTTAGATATAAACTCAATGCATGCTTCATCCCATGTCTGTGCTTTGCCTCTTCTCAATCCTCTTCTGCATCTTTTTTCATCTCATTCATTGCCCCAATGCTGTGTCTCTCCCCGTCCCCCACCACTGTCTCTCCCTATCCTTATATCCACCCAAGTATACGTTCCCTCCTGTGTTTCTCCAAACCACTGACCACCGTCTCACTTCCCAGACCCCAAAGACATGTCCCCATGTTACCATAATCACTTGCTAGCAAAATACCATCTATACTTTGTGTCTGACAATTCCAACCCACTTCTTGTGTCTCTGCCAATGCCACATCACCCCATTGTCTATTTGGATCAAGGCAAGTACGAATCAGTTATGCATGAATGTGATGGCTAAAACACAGCCCTGTGTCAAAGGAACTGTCCAGTCAGATTTCAGTTAGGCTGGTTTTATTCCTGTTTTACATTCGTGTGAAGAGACAGATCTTTCTCTGAATGGAATCAAACATACTCTATGCGTTACACCTCTGTACATCTCCCCATTCTAAATATCTGCCATTTTACACCCCTTCATAATACAACCACCAATCAAACGGTTGTTTTACAGAGACCTGGATGTTTATTTGAACAAGGAAGAACACACCAAGATTATATTTACAAAAAAAAGAAGCAATTACACAAAACGAGAACCTAAATACAAACAATATATAGTTTGTACTGCAAATTAATGTTTCTGTCATACAAAACCACTAGAACTGTAACAAAGCCCACTAGCGTGCTCTAAAAACACACAATATTGTATTATTTAGTGCCAAAGGCAATTGAATTTTCTTGCCAGACTGGAAAATTCCAGAATGTAGAGCACACCCAGTCTCCAAGGGATGAAACACGACGATGTTCAAAAATTAATTCCGCTACTTGTTGATATCCTAATTATGACAGCCTTACAATAACCATGGGCTGTTAGCATGATGACCAATGGAAATGTTTTGCCGGAGGACAGAAGGAGTGGCGTTTATCTCTGAATAAAAACACAGGATTTGTGTCAATTCTTCAAACTTCACGTGTCCTGCTGCTGGTTGATTTGCTTTTTTTGTGTGTTTTTTATCCTGAAGCAGATTTAAGAAAAGAGCATCTATGCAATGTCTTTTTTAAAGAAAGGAATGGACTTAAAAACAGATGAGTTGGGTAAGAAATGACCGGAATAGCTAACAAACGTTTAATCACTTTGCACTTTCTAAGTGTATGTGGTTTAGTAATTACTGAGTATCACTGCCGTGGAGGAACATTGCTGCAACATTAAGTAATTAATTAACCACATAAAAGCAGCGCTTGCCTTGTTTGATAGACAGGTAAACAGACAGGCAGGCAAACAAGCATAAAGACAGACAGGTAAACAGAGAGACAAGCAAACAAACAGACAGAGAAACAGAGAGACAGGCAAACAGACAGACAGGTAAACACAGAGACAGGCAAACAGACAGACAGGTAGACAGATAGGCAAACAAGCTGACAGGCAAACAGACAGACAGGCAAACAAGCAAACAGACAGACAGGTAAACAGAGAGACAAGCAAACAGACAGATAGGTAAACACATACACAGGCAAACAGACAGACAGGCAAGCCAGCAAACAGACAGGTAAACAAGCAAACAGAGAGACAGGCAAACAGACAGACAGATAAACACAGAGACAGGCAAACAGACAGGCAGGCAAGCAAACAGACAGGTAAACAGACAGACAGGCAAACAAGCAGACAGGCAAACAAGCAAACAGAATGAAAGGCAAACAGACAGGCAGACAGACAGGCAAACAAGCAAACAGACAGTCAGGTTTACAGACAGACAGGCAAACAGACAGGAAAACAAGTAGACAGACAGAGAGAGAGAGAGAGAGAGAGAGAGAATAAAAATGTGGAAACAAAAACTTAAGTTATCATTTAAAATGCAAGGTGTTAAGCAACCTATTTGCATTAAGTTAATTGTTCATTATAATTACTCTATATGTTTTAAGCATGGATGCTTATGCTGATGTGAGCAGATGTGTGCTAGATTCCATAATACAGACTTTCAGCACTAGTGATAGCAAAACATTAAGATGATCCCTGATCATGAAGACCTGCAGTCAGATCTCTGTCAATAGATTTATTTTCGTGTATACTATCTTAAAATACCAAGTTGTGAAATAACAAGATATGGCAGTACATTGATGTATTTTGTATTCAGCTAATGGTATTTTTGATACATTTTGGGGGGAGATGCCTTATTTCATATGATTTTTATTTATTTGCTGGTCAGAAAAGCTTTAAACTTGATAAGGTAATAAAGTCATTATACATCGACTTAATATAATCAAACCAAGTCAGCTAGGCTGCTTGGACTTAAAATGATCAATTTCCCTAATTTCAAGGTTTTCTAAAATAGTTCTATTGTATTTATACTTTATGTTATATAAAATTAGACACATAATATAATTATACGCCTTAAAGGTATACTTCAAGCACCATACCCACTGCAGAAAGCAATTGAGAGGAGAATTCCTTTAAAAATACTGCTGTGAATATTAAATACATTATTTTGTCTAACACATCTGAAACGTTAATTTGAAATATACACATTGCCCTGTAGTATGATTAACAGCTGCTTTGGTGAGTGTAATAAATGTGAAGTATATATTGCATTACAATAGCTGTAGAACAGGGACAGCTGTTTCCTGTAACTGTAATATTGCTGTGCATTTGTTTTGTTGTATAAAAATAAAGGAAAATTAATTTTCAGCAAACGAAAAAACGTATACAAAAGACTGTAGTTTGCCCCCTGCAGGAAGTTTATTAGAAGTGCAGAGTTCTCTGCAAATATTAAACCGTTTGTAGCTAAACCATAATCACATCAATGTTCCTTCTCTTCAAATCGGAAGTTTTATTTCATTCCTTTAACATACAGTGGCTCATGAATAGGGTTAAATATTAACGGTTACTCCAATCGAAAAAATAAAATATTTTACTAAAACGCTGTGTTTGGTCAGAGTAATCCTTACTATGCGGCCCCTAACACCCCCCTCCCCCAAGAAACAAAAAATGTTTTACTTTACCAGATTTTGCCAGCAGCCTGATCCTCCTCCAGTGATGTCACGCCCTCGCTAGACATGGAGGGATACCATTGGAGGAAATGCTATGCGTGCTGATGTTAGATTCCAATATGCACAGAATTGACACTAGCCAGCCCTGAATTCTTGATCCACGCTGGTTAATGAGAACCTAACGATGCTTCAGATGGAGTCACACCTCAGCAAACAGCTTTCAAATTCATAACAAATAGCACATATAGGCTCCGAGCAACATGACCACTTCAAATCACTGAAGCAGTCACGGTGCATGGAGTAACACTTTGATTTTTGATTTGTTAACATATTAAAATCAAGTCAAGCCAAAAAAGCTATTCCCCAATTTCATTAGTCCAATGTGAGAGAATAGTTAAATAACACTTTATTCAGTTACCTAATTCCAGTGTGGTGAGTCACGCTGCACCTCCTCCTACATCAGCCTACGGGGAGCCTATTGCGCATGCGCAGAGCCTGCATTAGGTCTTCCCTACAGAAAAAAAAACATGGCCTCATATATGTTTTATACGCATGTGCTTTATTCCTGTTTGCCCTACCGAGCTCATACTCAGCATTTTATGTATTTTGTTATTGAGTTGAACTTGAATAACTGGATTCTTTTGTTGGGGCCTACCATCATTGGTTTGAAGTTTAAATGCATCTGCTTTATTTACAATATGTTTCACCAGAAAAAAAATATATAACAATAATCTGGTTTTCAAGTATGTCCCAGGAAAATTACATTGCATTCCTTAAAGGAACAGTAAAGACCCATCATGCCCATCAATGTTAGAGTGCTTCGTGTCAGTGCTTTTCCAACCACTCCTGAAGGATCACTGAAGGGCCATGGCTCATGGATAAACTCGTTAGAACACAGTAAATCTTGGACTGCTGGAGGCCCTTTACTTTAAGGACTATAACACGTTGCACACGTTCTCCCTACTGAAAGTGGCTTCTAATTGCTGCAATTTGAAAAATCTCTGTAGTTCTAGGCCTAGCTTTGGGCACTAAATGAATCTTTCTACTTCCTTTGACATCCAGGATCCATCCATCTTGTGCACACAGTGGGTACATACCACAATCACAACTAGGACAGACATCTCTCTTCTCCCCCTGAGCACGAGCTGGAGGCATTGTATACGCAGTCAGCGGTACATGGTCTACTTTTTAAAACTGAGAATTGGGATATGTATAGTCTGACAGCTGGCAAGGTATGGCTGCCATGCGTTTATAAACCAGTTCCATCCATCCTGTGATGAGGTGAAATGTAGCGAGGAATAAACTACAAATACCACAAACCACTGCTGGAAAACAGTTTAAAGGGACACTATGGTCACCAAAACAACTTTAGCTTAATGAAGTAGTTTCGGTGTATAGATCATGCCTCTGCAGCCTCACTGCTGAATTCTCTGCCATTTGGAAGTTAAATCACTTTGTTTGTGCAAATTTAATCACAGCTCTCTGAATGTGATTTACACAGCCTTTCTAAACACTTCCTGTGAAGAGTCATCTAATGTTTACATTTACTTTGTTGCAAATTATGTTTAATGTAGAATTTCTTATCTTCTGCCATGTTAACAGGTTGCTTGCCCTATAGGAGCCTACTGTATATAATTAAAGTCCAATGTACAGGAGATATACATTTAAAGTAAGTTACATCTGATTGAAAATGAAACCATTTTGTTTTCACTAAGACTGTGTCAGTCACAGCCAGGGGAGGTGTGGCTATAGATGCATAAACAGAAACAAAAGTGATTTAACTCCAAAATGGCAGTGAATTGAGCAGTGAGAGTGCGAGAGCATGATCTATACACTAAAACTGCTTCATTAAGCTAAAGTTGTTTTGATGACTATAGTGTACCTTTAAAAAAATTGACCAGAGTGAGCGGCCTCAAGATTGGCAAAGCCTCTTTCTGGTCAGGAAGTGTCTGCCAGCTGCTTGTCTTGGATATGTACATACTAGAGGTTTATAATATTTAATGATTTTGCTTTTTGTATAAATCTTACTTTGATGCATAATGCTGTGTCTCTCACCACAGCCAGCAAAAAGAGCAATTCTCCCAGATTAATAGTGCACAAACACTGTTATTTTAATCTCTATATTGGTATAGTCTTACCCCTCAATATGTACAAATATATATACATATATTACACAGCACCAATGCCAAAAAATGGGTTCCCCATAAACAAACATAATGATCACACTTTTGTTTTTTTCCTTACTCCTTCATTAATGCCAGTACGCATCATGATACATATGGAGGAAAGAAAATACAAATATAAATATATAATAGTGCTCTCTGTTATTAAAAACACAGCTATTAGGCTAGTAAAGCATCATGGGAATTGCAGTCCTACAATAGCTGGAGATTCAATTCCCAGCCACCCCTGCTTTAGCGTATAGGTTCCTACACCATGCACTGACACCTTAAGAGTGCCTGTCTGTGGGTGTGGATTGGACATTCTCATTTTCCAATGGGCTCCAGGGCACCTCGGGCCCGTCATACTAAACCTCTGTTTTACCAGAGGCATTTGTGCCTCCCTTGTCCTCCACCCTAATCCTGCACGCAAGACTGCACAGTTTCACCACACCTTGCCTAATTGTGCTGTCAGTAAACAGTGCGGCCCAGACACAAACTGTGCGACCAAAGCAATGATGTAGCTGCATTTATTATTCATCACAAATTTCCCTCTTCTGAACCTATTTCTATAGACTGCATCCTGAGACCCCCCAAAAAAGTACTGGGCTATTCAATAAAGTGTTAATTAGTTTTCTGGCAATTTGACTCACAGTTTACATGTTTGCACTCTTTGTATGAATCTAAAATGAAATAAAACTACGTTTGAGTGGAGCTTCTGGTTTTCGTCCCTCAGACTGTTGCATGGAGGAGTCACCCTAACAGGGCTGCTGGTGGGCTGATTATGGCTGAATGCTACTAATGAAAAATTAATTATACAGGGGAGAGTTGGGAAAGAGGGCAGGGGGAATTTGCCCCCCAATCCACAATTATAGAGATGTTTTTGAGTTGCTTCACAGTACGATACTAAATATTATGTTACTATATTCTTTTATTATAATGTATACTATATCATATTATTGTAGTCTAGTTATGCAGTATTAGCATAAAACATTTAATCCAAAATTAAAATTAATAAAGAAAGTGGAGAATGATATAACAGGATGGTAGTTGTCCTCAACTTGGGCTTTTGGTAGTTGTCTGGTAGGCCCAACGTATCCAGCTATCCACTGTACTTACATTTCAACAGAAATGGGTTTTATTTTCCAACTCTCGGTGACCATTATCAACGTGTCCTGAGTTTTTTATAATGATTATTACGAAGTTACCTCAGCTGGAGGCTTAATCACTATACTTTTGTTTTGTTTGAGGTAAGCAGGGGCGTTGCTAGGAACCTGGAGCTTAAACCCAAAGCTAAACGGGATAACCACTACAATAACAAAGATTTAGGGTATGTCATGACATTTCCCACCTCTCTACCCATGAATAGAGAGCTGATGATGCCCCTCAAGATTTGAATAAAATAAAAAATCTTCTTGTCTAATTCATTTACTATAGCGATCTGAGAGTCTTACATCTGGGGCTTCAGCCCTTACAGTCCCGCCATCGAGCAATGTCAGTGACTGTCACCTTATGGTAGGTGACTATTTATTAAATATGAAGATTGGTAATTAAAGGTAAGACTCCCTAGAGGTTTGCATTCAAGCTGACAAATTCAGAGAAGACAAAAAAGTTTTTTTATGGAAAGTGATTAACTCATATAACCTCACAAAATTCTAAATTTCCCCTCTCTACAAATGCCATCTAAATACCAACGAGGCCTATTTTTTTCCACACAAGGGTTGTCCACCAGCATACACACAGTAAAATCAGGTGCACATTGCTTGTGTGAAACACCTATCTAGTTTGAAAAGTTGAGGGTTTAGTAATATATATAAGATTAGATATAACCATATAATTAGATATGGCCATATCATATTAGCCATGGACTTCATCAAGGTCCCATTGACCAAAATAAAGGGCAGCACCATGATGTTTTACTTTTCATATTTTTAAGTGGAGTTGGTCATAAACATAAATGTTCTTCCAGGGTCAAAGCTTGGCTCATACCAGACCTGCTGTTTGCAGTAACCAGTAACAAAAACCTCATTAACCAGTTATTACAAGATCCATGGGAATACAATGTACCCAAACATACAATCTATACACACACCAATTACACGTTTAAAGCATGACATGACATTTACACATGCATAATAATTTCAGTGATTTGAAGTGATCATGGTGCCTGGAGTCTGTATTTTCATGGTTTTGCTTTGAAACGCTGCACATACGGAGATCGACCACTCTGCTGGCAGAGGTCTAACTTCACCTTCAGAAGGGTCACTGGGGTGTCATCGGCCAGTCAGGAACTGAGCAATTGTTTGTTTTTTTTCACCAAAATTTCATTCATTGGCGGAGGGCGGTCAGTTGATACTCTCAGCCAATGAATGGTGAATCTCCTGAGCTGCAAAAGCCAGAAGCTCATCACCTGACATGAGAGTTGACCAGGAGCCTAGCAAGTAGCCAGGTAAGAGGGCAAATTTACTCATTACCGGAGTACCAGGCCAGGGAACTCCTGGCAGCATAACCACTACAGCGAACGAGTAACCCTTTGAGCTTGATCATCGTGTAGCAGTTTCGTATTACTGCTATTACAAACGTTAAATACATAGTTTGTGATGTATTTCCGTTAACCCTCGCTTATCCTCTTCCATTCTATGGTCTGCTTTGAATTCATGTCTCTCTGCATTGTCGTTACAGTGAAACAAGGAAAGGAAGTTGTACAAGATACTGCAAATCAATGCACCGAAGAGGGGCAGAAGGTTGCTCAGGAAGGCAAGTCAAATGTATACTGTGATACTATATCAATGAAAAACAGGAAAATAGCATCTACATGACTATCTCCACCAAGCTTAAAGGGTTACTCCAACCACCATGAACATGAACATGCTTCTAGAAGTAGTCATGGTGGTAGGAGTCTGTATGGGCAGCACTTCAAGCAGAGAAATGTTGTACTTTTGTGCCAGGGGCTAGTTGCATCCCTGTCACATGTGACTTAGGCAGCTGGGAACTCTGTTCTGGGCTGCCAAATGTCAGTTCCATGTAAAAACTGTCATCTGCTGCCGACGGATGTTATCAGCTTATACCCTTGAAGTGTCTGAACGAGGAAGCTTGAATGTGCCCTTCCTCCCTTCTTTATTTAGCTCTCCCCATAAAGGCCACATTTATTGCTCTTTTTTTTCCCTCCCTCCATTGACCACCTCCCATGTCCCTCCTTCCCCAGCAGCGAGCGCATGCGCTTTCAGTAGATAAAATGGTCCCATCCAATGCTTCTCTGTGAGAATCATTTGATTGAACGAGTGAGGCTTAGCCAACGCTGGGTTCCAGGTCATTTTATAACTTGGAGGGGGGAGGGGTAACTAGTAATGCCCAATAAAGTATATGTTTAACAAAATGGAGTAATCATTAAACTGTTGATTATAAAATTTAATAGTGATGTGCAAAATTAGCTTAAGCCAGTTCTACTGAATCAAATATGTGGCAAAGATCCTTCTTTCTCTGTACTTAAGTGTCCATAATAGGGCCATAACTGGTCATTAAATTTTGTCACTAGAATAAAATAAACTCCCTATCAATGAATAAAGAAAACATGGTTTTAGCAATGACTTCCAGAGCAGCCATGAAGAGGCAAAGTGGTCCAATACATGCTCATCTTCATTTTTCCTAGGAGCTCCATATTGTTGGTGTGTCTGTGTATAACAGAGCTCCACAGCAATAATATACCCAGTAATGTGTCAGAGTGTATGACAGAGCTCCACAGTAATAATACTCCCAATAATGTATCTGAATGTAAAACAGAGCTCCACAGCAATAATACACCCAGTAATGTGTCTGAGTGTATAACAGAGCTCCACAGCAATATTACTCCCAATAATGTATCTGAGTGTATAACAGAGCTCCACAGCAATAATACTCCTAGTAATGTGCCTGAGTGTTAACAGAGCTCCACAGCAATAATACACCCATTAATATGTCTGAGTGTATAACAGGGCTCCACAGCAATAATACTCCCAATGATGTGTCTGAGTGTATAACAGAGCTCCACAGCAATAATACTCCCAGTAATGTGACTGAGTGTATAACAGAGCTCCACAGCAATAATACTCCCAGTAATGTGTCTGAGTGTATGACAGAGCTCCACAGCAATAATACTCCCAGTAATGTGTCTGAGTGTATAACAGAGCTCCACAGCAATAATACTCCCAGTAATGTGTCTGAGTGTATAAAAGAGCTCCACAGCAATAATACTCCCAGTAATGTGACTGAGTGTATAACAGAGCTCCACAGCAATAATACTCCCAGTAATGTGTCTGAGTGTATAACAGAGCTCCACAGTAATAATACTCCCAATAACGTGTCTGAGTGTATAACAGAGCTCCACAGCAATAATACTCCCAGTAATGTGTCTGAGAGTATCACAGATCTCCACGGTAATAATACTCAGAGTAATGTGTCTGAGTGTATTACAGAGCTCCATTGCAATACTACTGCAATAAATGTGTTTAGAAATCAGTCTGTGTGAATAAGATACATTGTTCTTGTTCTAAATTACATTTTAGTTGTATAAACTATTAATAGTAAGCCACCCAAACGTTCTCACAACAGCCCTGCCCTTGGCAACACCCCACTCACACTCCTAAAATTAAAGTGTCCCACTTTGTCCATTTGCAATGTCAGGTGGCATGCATTAAGTATGTTATAAAACTATAAACACCTTTGTTCTGTACAATTTCAGTTGTCGATAAAGGATGCCAGGCTGCTAAAGATGCTGGGGAGAAGGCAGTAGGACAAATCAAAGGAGGCTGCTTTAAGAAAAAGTAAAGACTTGCCTCCAAAATGCCCTGGATCACACTGCTCTCAATGTCTTTTCAGTGAATAATATATTAAAATGTGGTTCTGCTCCTGCTCACCCAGGATATACGATATATACCCTTTCATCAGAAAAATACAAAACAACAAAAACATATATTGAGTATTCTCCCTATTAATTCAAGATGGTTTAATATATATTAAACAACTGTGGTAAAAACTCCTGCTTTATTTATGTATTTATGTGTGTGTGTCTGATTGTTCACATGATACTGGATTAGAAGCTACAAGAAAATGCCTATATTCAAACGCACAAACACTGCTCACGAATACAACCCTTCCAGGATGGCCCGGTAGTAGATCCCCAGCTGGCATAGCATCATGGGGGTTGAATGACAGATGGGGATCTATCTTTACGCCACTCTTACGCCAAGGGGGGCAAAAAGGTTTATTGCACCAGGTCCCTCTTCTCATTTATTACGTCACTGATTAGACAGCTGTTGTGGTTGTCAAGTAGAGTTGAGATAAAACCGGAAACAAATAGGATTGGGATCTGTACTGGTTTACAAGTTATGTTGGAAGAACCCTAAACCTTAAATATGAACCATCTAGTAATTTGCCAATAAAGAACTTCTGGCCTTTTTGTTGTCTCGTAATCTAAAATAATTCACAGTGATATTATGTATCTTGACTTAAAACTGTCCGTGCTTGTGTCATAGTGCTTCATCAAAACATTCTTTCTTCAATAGGAACGTCATGAAAACACGGTCAGAGGTTTTTTTTACTATAGTGAATGTCCCTGGTCTAGACTGCAATATCCAGACATGGTTCACAAGATTTATTAATGCCACCCAGATTTCACCCTGTCAGGGCACAGCCAAACTGCTGATATCTGGATACACATGCCACCAATCTGGATGGTTAAAAGGCAGTCCTAAATGTAAAAAAAGGTCTAAATGACCTATTGGGAGTATAAAATCTTTCCTTTACCCCTATCAGACATGCCCTAGGGGAACTAATATAATGGGAATAATAGGATACCTGTCTCTTCCACACACACACACACACACCCAACGTATCCCTCCTAATGCTTAGCAATTTAGAATGTAAGCTCATTGAGCAAGGCGCTCCACCTCTCTGTTCCTGTACGTCCAGTTGTCTGGTTACAATTACATGTCTGTTAGTGCCCCCATTGTACAGCGCTACGGAACCTGATGGCGCTATATAAAAAATACAATAATAATAATATAAATAGATTAGAGACTGGGCATCTAATGCTTTCCTATTGCTAAAGATTCCATCCCATTAGCAATGGGGTGAGGCCTGCATAAGAGAAGAAAAGAAGAAATTTGGCCCTAATCCCACCCAATCCACCCATGGTGGCTAAATGATAATAATACAAGAGGACAGGTTATTGTTAATCTCCAAGCAAGGACAACTGGAGAAAGTATGAAAATAAAGACGGGTGTGAACACAACATTGTCCTCCTCCCACCCCCTCCCAAGGGCAGTGAATTGGAGTTATAATACTAATAGAATAGAGGACCAGAGGACAATATGAATGCTTGTGTTACATAAAATCAAGAATCAATGAGTTTCCTGAACAGGTTCTCCTCCTGTAATAAAAGACCACCAGTTCCCTAAAAGGAGAAAGCAGGACCTCAATTAGTAAATGTAATCTGGAAGTTTTTCATCAGAATGCAGTGCAATACAGCAGAAAACTAAAATGGGAAGTGCAATGTAAAGGCTATGCTCTGTAATAATAATACCATTGTCCCCCCGTGTCCCGACCCATAGGGTGCAGGTGGATTATTGCTAATGGAGGGATATATGCCAATGTTCCACTAAGCTGTCATCTTTTATCCTGGGGGTAAGTACTAATGAACAGCCTTGAAACGCATAGATCACTGTTTGATATATAAATATGACAAATTACGTTTTGCACAATTACAATGTGTAACAGAATTTATCCTTGCATCCTCCGTAAGTATGACATGCACAGCATGAACGAGCATTCACAGAGATCACTGGACGACTACAATATGCTTGTTTCCTGAGACTCCATTGTCACCAGTGACAGTCAAAATGTAGTTTGTCATTGGTAAGCACCTCATAATCAGGCTATCAGGCTGCCTAGTCAACCCAGATTCTGCCTTCCCATGAGAAATATTCCAATGGACCAGTCCAGGTCTAGAGAACATTGAGATGGCAGGCCCCCAGCCTATGGAAAAACCCACCCATTGCGGGGCTAGCCAAGGCACTGCACAATCCGTGCCCGCTGCCTCACTCCTACTGTTAGATATTCCAATGAATTATCTCCTACTGTTAGATATTCCAATGCATTATCTCCTACTGTTAGATATTCCAATGAATTATCTCCTACTGTTAGATATTCCAATGAATTATATCCTACTGTTAGATATTCCATTCTTGTGTGGATTTTAATGTGGATTTTAATGTGGATTTTAATCCACACAAGAATGGTGTGAGGATGCATCCCTATTACCAGTGCATAATACCATAATAGTGGATCAGAGACTTATTGCCTAAAACCCTCCTTTTCAGTGCTCCCATAAAACCATTAGCCACATGTGGGAGGCACTAATAAAGGACGCTCAGTCAAAACCCCCCTCCCTCCCCCACCTGATGGCTGGAGGTTCCCAAGCCAATAAGTAGGTCCTACCCACTCACATTAATAATAGTGAGAGTTAGCCTAATAAATTGAAAATAAAACAAATAAAAACCCTAAAAAAGATTTTGTTACAAAACATAATTTAAAATAAAAAAGGAATCATTTACAAACAAAGATTAAATAAATCTACATCGGTAGCCCCAGAGACTTCCCCATGCTTTGAATGCCAGTCAGAGCACTGTTATTGGTTGGTTTGGAAGCCAACCATTCACAGCTCTCTGACAGGTATTGTGTATGCATGCACATGTGTGAAGGAAAAGGCCTTTCTTTTAGATGCACTAAAAAGGGTTATTTCCACTAAGAGAAGGGGGTATGGAGACTACCTGGATGCCTACTCTGCCTCCCAACTGGAAATGGGGAGCCCTGGGGATTGCCTGGACCTGTCCTGCACAGATTAATTCCTGACTACGAGATACCCTGAAATGCTCTGGAACTGTATGCTGGATTGGTACTGTGATATGTTATTTCTCAGTTCCCAGGTCATCAATCAGGGTACTATTTGGCCAACATTGGCGATCAATCGAGAGCTATCAAAGGACATACAACATGGGGATACCAGCCTCCCTGGAATCCCTGGAACCCAGTTTTGTAAGACCGGGACAAAGCAGGAGAGAAATTGAACTCAATCCTGAAAGAACATAAGACAATAAATATGGTGTCAGCTAGAACATGTTGTAATGTCACCATTACCTTTAATGATGTGAAAATGCCACAACAAACGGATTTTTAAATCTCAAGACATCCTGTTCCTACCTTTCTGGTGCCAGCCCTGCTAAGGAGATGTAATTGTATCTGCACAAAGACACACAAAACCTTCATACTGTAGCCACTGGGTCCATGTGAGCAGAGTTAGAGGTCAGCCTGTGATGTCACTGGGAGTGAATGGATGTGCATTGTGAGGTCACTGGGAATGGATTGTGAGGTCAGCACGTGACGTAATGTAGAATGACAACAGAAACACCTTAGGGTTTATTGACTAAACAGTGAATGGTAGTGAATTGAAAACTGAATTTCAGACAAAATATTTGATTTAGAAAATGTATCCAACTTAAAACTAACCACTTACGGCAACTGATTTAGCCTGAATTTTGCAATTTGATTTTCAGCTCACTATAATTCAATATATAGAAAGTAAACCCTACAAAATCATTCTGAAAACTGGAATTTGACCAAGAGATTACGAATTGTAAAACAAATCCATTAATTTTGCATTTTGTTTACTATGGCATACATTTTTACATTCCTGACCACTTTTTGTTTAGTGAATTACCCTAAATGTAATATACCCATCACCTCAAATAATAATAAATATTATTTTTTTATTTTTTTAAAAAGGGGGGGGGGGGACGAATGTTTTTATAAGCGAACTAAGCTGTACTAATAAAATATTGGATGAACTAAACGTATTTAGAGTGGGTGAACAATTTATAATTTTAGCACAATTGTGACATCTAGTGGTCAAATACAAAATGAGCACATCCCACTAAGAATTCTTTTTCATGTCCAAGTGTGTAGCAGGGCCTTTTATATTTGATGTTACTGTATCACAGTCCTCAAACGACATTAACATACATCTCTAGGGTGAGGTGGATACCCAGAACCACAGCCCCAATGATACTTTGTTTTTAAAGGATCTGCTTTTTAGCCATGCCTGCTTTAGGAAACCTTAACCTCCCATCCTTTAATGACAGCTCTGCTTCCCTACTGCATGTCTGGTTTTCTACATACACTCCACCACAATGGCAAATGATCAGTTACCTCCTCCATGCACTCACATGTGACTCTCCTGACAGTAAACCTATATCTACCATCAGGGTTTAGATCCTGACATCGGAAAAAAAGAGCAACAACATTAGTTGAAAGGCAATTCATATGAAATCCAAAATATTATGGTTTAATATCTTTCTAACATTTAGGACAAAAAAAGAACTCACTTACTGCATAACAAGTTTAGATAAATCTTGTTTCGCACAAGGAATTACCTTCAAGAATATATTAATTCTAATCAGTTCTCCCCCAAAAGAACTAAACTGGTTGTCGCTGGAATCCAGTCGCATCCTTCATCTTTCCAGGCTCGTGTTTAACCCATTAAGGACACATGACATGTGTGACATGTGATGATTCCCTTTTATTCCAGAAGTTTGGTCCTTAAGGGGTTAAGAGCTTTCCTGGGAAGCTCCCACCGTACCTGAGCAGAATGCTCTCCTCGGCTGTTTCCACCTCCTATAACCTCCGATCCAGTACCAGCACTTTATTTAGTCTACCACAATACGAAAAGAAAGCGTCTCGATCCTCCTTTTCCTACAGAGCAACGCAATTATGGAACGACCTCCAGGACAATTTCAAATCTTCCCCAAGCCGAAAATCCTTTAAGAGATCCCTCTCTATATATCTCAAAACAGAATGCACCGTCATGGTTGATTATATATTTCCTGCCTGTTCTATGTTGTATGTATTGTGTATTAATATTGTTTTTGTATTTTATTGTACCCTATTGTATCAATGCAATGTTTTGTGGACCCAGGACATACTTGAAAACAAGAGATATCTCAATGTATCTTTCCTGGTAAAATATTTTATAAACAAATCTTTCTCACTCTTAAACTATATATATTTAATTATGCAAATCTCATATTGTAACTATTGCACTATTATATAAAGCAGAAGAGAATTGGAGAATTATATCGATATATCAGAGAGAAAGGCTCCAGAGGGCATTTTTGTAGCTTCACAGGAATTTCAACAGCTGCCTGCTTCCCATTGAATTAGAAGACATACATTGTCTTCTTCACCATAACCGGGTGATGATCAGTCTCAGTGCTCCCACTCTATCTGATGTTCTATAACCGGAAACTCCACCACCAGTTTGTAAGGTCATTACTTGCTCAGAGCTGTGATGCCCCCTTCCCTGCCCAGATGGCCATAGGAAAGATGTATGTGCAAGACA